TCCACCCCACCGGGACGGAGGAACCCGCTCGGGGCGAGGTGGTGTGAGCGCGCCAGCTCCGGTGCGTGGGCCTACCCGGGCCTGAGGTGGGGCCTCGGGGCCTGGTTTTTGGTTCAATGCCGCTTCTACACCTGCCCGGCTCCCTTCACCATGAGAACAAACGTTGTTCCAGAAGATGATTTCTTAATTCCCCTGCTCTAAGTGTGGCCACATGGCAAATGTGATGAAAATGATGATTTTCATAGTTAAAACAGCTCTCCGGGCTGAGAGTGTTGTCACTTCAAAGCCGATGTGACCAGGTTAACCTCTCTGGATTTAAAAGCGTCCCGTGCGTGTCCAAACTGGCTTCGTGGCCACTGTCTGCAGAAGAGGGTGCTCACCTGCATCAGCGCCCGACCGGCCTAAGGGCAGGAGGGGAGTGTGCTGTGTTGGCCTTCTGTCTTAAAGTTTATTGCTAACCTGCTAGATAAGAAAGTCCACATTACTTAAAACAAACAAACAAACCCCAACCCACGTTAATCATAGGTCTTTTTTAGATCGAGGACTTGGGAGTCAATTCTGTTGAGCTGTCCATGTGGCAGCCTGCTCAACTCTTGAGTGCCTTTCTCTTTAGTTTTAGCCGTTGCTTCTGCTGAGTTTAACAAAGATGTAGAAACTTCTGAAGTTAGTTTTGCTTTTGCAATGCAGTTTAATTTTGCTTTTCTGAAATTCTGGGAGATAAGAATGAAAGTAAAAGACGGTGTTCAGCCCTCTTGTTAACACTAAAGCTTGAGGAAATAATTTTCATTCATGTTGGAGGAGTAAGGGAAGATTATGGTTAGAGGTTGATTCCACATGTGGTTAAAGTACTCTCCAATTTTTCTTTTTTGATACTATTTTACTCATAATGTTTGCAGTGGGGAAGTACAAGGGTGCTTTTATTTGGTTTTGTTTAGCAGTTGCACAGAACAGAGTTTAAACCAGAAGTAGCCACATTGCTGTTGCTGTGGGCTGGCCTGTAAACCTGAATTATACACCTTTTGTACAGCACTTGTGATGGAAAGTGGCACACAAATGGCATGAATCCGTTTTGTTCATAATGTTTGCTCCAGACGAATTGTAACAAGTGGAGAATGTAAATGCAAAGTTACTTATAAAAAAATTAGAAAATTGCCAGTACTGTGCTTCAAATTTTAATAGCTTTTTAGACTTAGCTTTACAATTTTGCATGCTGTAACATGCATAGAATCCTGGAAACATTTAGGTTGGAAAAGACCTTTAAGATCATCAGTGTGCTTCTTTCTAGTAGTGTTCAAAAGAACATCAAATGCAAAAATTTAAGAGCAGTCTGAAAGACAAACCTTTCATATTGATGGGGTTTGTCTGGTGTCTCAGTCTCCTCTCCCCTCCAAATTCTCCAAAGGAAAATGAATTGCCACTGCATGCAAGTGCTCATAGTGATTGCAGAACACTTGGACCTTGGAGACTCTTGACACACAGAAGGTCAGTTAATTTTTCTCTTACTTAATGAGTTTTCTGTGAACTTTTAATGGACAAGCTAGCTTCACTGACTGTAAATGTTTCTGCTGATTTTGGCAAAGCTTAAGAAATGTGAATAAATAATAAAAGATGTGTTCTGCACTATTAAGGAATTTGTAAAGACCTAAGTAAGTCCCAATTCTTTAAGCATTCAGATAGTTACCTAGGTTGACCTATCTTGAGAGTTAGTCCTGTGGAAGTATTTACAAAGCCTAGACTTTCACTTTCTGACTGACAAAATGAGGAATGTATAGGGAAAAAGTGTTTATTCAAGCCTCCTTAAGATACATTGTTCATAAATTACATGACAGCAACTGCGAGGAAACCGTTGTTTGTCAGGAGTGTCTGCTAAGAATCAGACTTCATACCGTAGTACTCACGTAAGTAAAGTGTTTGTGAGAGTTTATTTTGAAGCATCCAGTTAAGATGTAACTTCAATTTTACTGTTTAATTTAGCACAGAGTAGGATTTGTGTCCGTTTTGCAACCCTGTTGCTTATTTGTTACTTGAGTACTTAAGTCAAACAGGGAACTTAAGGGTTATGCCATTTGTGCTCAACAGAAAACAAATGCTGGGTTTGGCTTTTTCTTGCCTTTTAATTCTAAAGGTTTGTTAATGGTATAAGTAAAGATATCTCATTTTTGTTTGAGTGCTAAAGCAAGAGTAAATATCCTCCATTGAGGAATTATAATAATTACACCAATAAATTGATACATTTACATGACATTTAGATGAACCCATATAACATGGCTGTAAGCTTGGCTTAGGGCAATACTTTTTTTTTTTTTCCTTGTGGTTTGGCTGTTTTATTGAAAATAATAGGGCATGTTCTGAAGTCAAACTGACCAACTTGAGATAAAGTAATAGAGAATACTGTTAACTCACATTAGCAGTTTGGATTGATGATATGTGGGAGTCTTGACTTCAAACACGACTAAAGTCGTGTGACATGAGTGCTGGTAGTGAAATTCTAGATTGCTGAATCCTAACAAAATTTTTGAGTTGAACATTACTACATGTTGTATTATAGCCTACTATAAATCATATTCCTTGATGGGCCAGTTTTCTTGAGCTTCAAGCACTGTTTAGCTCCTATTGGAGACTTGTGTGTGTGCTGCTCAGAGAAATGTGTCACTGGTTAGGCCTGGGCTGGCCACTAAAACACAGACAGATGCTCTCTAACCCCTTCTCCCCCCAAAATGGGAAGGAAAAGGGAACGAGGCAGAGAGACTTACAGGTTAGAAAACTAAAACAGCTTTAACGAAACAATAATAGAAATAATAGTGAAATGATAAAAATAACTATATACAACTATATATATAAGTCCAATATCGAACTTGACTCCCCACTGATGCTGCAGAGCAGGATGCCCTGGGGTAGCCCCAGGCTCAGTGGGGGCAGGATCTGGATTTGGGAACTCAGGATCTGGATCAAAAGCAGATCAGCTGGAGTACTTCCTGGACACCGGCCACTGAAGAAAGAGCTAAACTCTCATGATTGCTCAATTTATACTAAATATGAGGTATATGGAATGGAATACTTTAGTGGGTCACCTGTCCTGTGTATTACCCCCTGGAGGTGCAACCTTTTCTTTCCTTGTGACCCCTCTTACTACCTGGCACCCCCAGCGTGGCACACTAGAGCCAGCAGTGCCTCAGTTACTATAGAAATAAGTATAAACAAGAGCCTTTCTGCATCCCAGTCGCAGGCTGTAACCATAAACATCAGGTGTTATCACTGCCAGTAGCACACACTATCTGCAAAAACATGCTGCTGACTTCAGAAAGTGCAGCCCTTTAGACTGAGCTGGAAGGTAAAAATCACTGAACAGAATTGTTTTTGTTTAGCTCAAACCAGGACAGAGGTGGCAGTGAAGTTATAGTTGAAGATACTGGTGATGTGAAGACAAGCTCTAGAAGCTCTCTGGTGTACATATGTGTATTTGTGTGATGTAACACATGCAGTCTTGCATAAAAATTCATTCTGTATGTGTTCACAGCGCTTCAATCTGCAGGGATGTTGGCTATAGGCTAACTGGGTAAGATGGAGAAGAAACATATTGAGAGCCAGATCTCAACTAGCTTTCAGACAGAACTGTGGGATTAAGGTTTCTGAGGAGCCTGCCAGATTTTTTAACCCAAACTCATCTCTTGAGCACTTTTACAAAACGTTAGGATTGTTTGACTAGTACTTCCCTTAAAGCCTATGCATCATATTAGCGTAATTAAATGTGCAGATCCTTTTTATTGCTCTTGACAAGATTTTGAAGTGGGTTAACATAAAAATCTGTAGCAAAAGTAATTATCTTTTCTAAGAGGAGCAGCAGGTGTTTTATTTGACCTTCTAAGATGTTCATCAAGATTTTTTGTTTATTGCTGTTACTGGCAAATGAGGTAAGTTGCAAGTAATAGAGGTAAGGCCTTGTGCCTGATTTGGAGGTACTTAAACCATTGGATGTAGTAAAGCACTTACACTGTAGGACCTCTTAAGTAGCCTGTTTCTAGAACGGTTTTAGCCCATCTTCTTTGGAAAAGGGGATTGAGGTTATTCCAGAAGGTTCTTTTCTTTTGGCATTTTGAAGGATTAACTTTGTGATTTAGAAATTAAGTCAATCAGGTATAAATAAAATTGTATAACTTTCTTCTAAATGCACAGAATAATTGTTGTTGCACTCTTCTCTGTGCTATAGGTGATACTGGCCAAAGAACAAGAACATGGATAAAACAAATTTTGAAGCAAGACATGGCTTTCCAACATATAAAAATAATTTACCCAACGGCTCCTTCCAGGTATTGATTTTGAGAGGTTAAGACAGAAGTCACAGTCTGATTCAAACTGAGTTATTGTCCTCATAGTATTTTTCCATCTCCTTGATTTAAATAGAAGATACTCCAGTGTGTGTTGTGATGGCATTGTAGAGCTGGGTTGTGGATCACAATCTTACCTCTATCAACTCCAATAAATTAACCACTGAAATATTCTATTGTATTTAATGCCAGGTTTTGATTATGAAGGTGGTCGGTCTTTTTAGCAAGTAACTTGTGAAAGATCTTCAGCTGCTAGAGAAAGGGCTGGGAGTTTAAAATGACACTTTTTTTTCTAGTTTGAATCCTAACCCAACTGTTTCAAAGAGAACTGAGTTCAGCATTTGCTGCAGGAATAAATCTTGTTATTAAATGACACTATGTGTTCAGTGGTAGACTGGAAATACAGATAAGAATATTTACACGTGGGAATTTGAAAAGTCAAACTTAAAGACTAAAAGTTGGATGCCTACCTCCATATTTAGCTATTTAAAAACATGGCCTTATATTTCAGAGATATTTAATTTTTATTAATTAATTTTTAAGGAGTCTGTGGCTCTAAGTTAGGAAAACTTTTCCTTGAAAGGCAGCAAGGCTTAAGTTTCTGTCTGAATTTGTGCATAAGAGTAAATGAATGCTGAAAGGAAAAGAAAATTGTGACATTCTACACAGACTTTCAAGGTATAGAGGTTTGAAAAAAAATCTTGGAGGGTATAAACAAGTTTAATAGCAGATTTTGTCTGGCACTCAGTAATACATTGAAAAAAAACAAAACAAAACAAAACAAAACCAGCCAATCTTTCCTTGACCATGTACTTTTATGATTGCCTTCGGCAGGAAAAGCAATTGAGAGATTGCAGTGTGAATGTACTCACTGTGTTAAAAGGAAAACCAAGCCTGTGAGTGAGTCTTATGAAGCAGTGGTGTTTGGGTTAGTAGGCTGTGAATATGATTTTCTGTTACAAATATGCTCATTACTCCATTGATGACAGGCTAAAGTGATGCTGGAGTTGTCAGCAGCACATCACGTGTTGATGGGCTCCATTTCTTCCCTATCAACACAGCAGGTACTGGAGAAATGCAGGAGGTTTTGCTTCCCTATGAAACCATCTTTCTTCACGTGTTATATTCAGCCAGAGCACCTTAGACCACAACTGTCAGGCCAGTGCCTCGCTTTTCCATCCCGCTGCATTTCTGGGGTCCAGTCCTTTTCTTCTTTTGGTTTCTTTGGATAACTACAGATGTAAACTATGTATAAATGATTAACCAGCAAGGTCTCCTGACTCAAGTGAGTGGCATTTATGAGGGATTTATTTTTAACTTGAGACTTTGGATTTCAGTACTTCGACAAACAGACGGAAGAAAGATGCTGTTGTAATTAAAAGATGTGAATAAACAGTTAATTGTGCTCTCCTTTTTTAAGTTGAGGTTATTCTTCTCTAGAGTATGTAGAGGTCACACATGAGTTGATTCAGAAGCAGCTTTTAGCAAAGCTGTGAAAAGATACACACTCGGAGAATAAAAAAATACACTGTTTGGCAACGTGAACTGTGCTTGGGAATATTAATATACAGCTCTGTGTTTCTGATAAGCATCATTAGCTGACATAGTGAAATAAACCAGATGCCTTTAAATACGATAATGTTTGCCACTGTTTGCAGCAATGCTGAAGCGAAGTTTATGAAGGCATGCATTGCTGCTTGAAACTGAAACAACAGAAGCCTCTGCATGTTGTTTTGATATTCAAGTCCAAAACACACTATGCTTTTCGAAACATTTGTAGTGGTTGCTCTCCTTTCTTACACAGAAAGGAAAAACAAGGCCTAGAACATCCAAACATGAATGGCAGACATGGAAACAATTATGTCTGCATTAAGAACTTGAATATGTGGTCTGATTTTGTGTGCATATGTATATACATTTTGATAAGAGCTCCACATGCTTCTGGCACGAGAAGGGAAATTCAGCATCCTTGCTAATGGGATGACAGCGACGGGTGTGAAAATACACTGCAGAAAGTTCTGATCCAGTCTTTTGATTGTGTAGTAACAGCGATAACGCTGGTGGAAAACTGCACTGGTGTGAGTGAGAGTCTCCATGGGTGGCACAACCTGCCACCACATCGTCAGCTGTAGGAGTGGAGCACAAAGGTTGCCAGTAGGTTTTTACACTGATAATGAAATCAAAGAAAAGCTCAAGGTTAGGCAAGCACATACTAGGATTGCTTGGCTAAATATGCTCTTCTGGCAAAATACTGTTAGTGTGGATGTAGTTCATACTCTATAAACTTCTGTCTTTTCCAGCATAATTTACCACATACGCACTGAATGCTCTCCATTAAAGTAGTTATGCCAGTAAAAGCAGGTTTGATGGTATAACTACAGCGCTAGAAGCTTTGGTGTGATAAACTGCAGATCAGGAATGCTTCTTCACATTTCTGATTTGTCTAATTCTGGTGATAGATAGATGTATAGATTTGGTCTTATACATTCTTCACCTCTATTAAATAGAGTTCTGAGAAGCAGTGGAATTCACATTTTTTGACAAAAGGTTGAAATGTTTTATTTTTTTCTTTGTGGAGGATGGATGGGGTTTAGACTTCATCCCAGGCACCAAAACATACATATTTTTCATTTACTACAACGGCAGAGGTTCAGACATGTTTTGATTCAAGAGTCAATATGTTTGAAAATTATCTTGGAAAGCCAGCCGAGCATATAATCTAGAAGAATTCTCAGACATGTTCTTTGGCTTCATTGGTGTTGATTTCGGCAAAAACTACAGAGGATAAGTAAAAGTAATAGAACATTACTGAACTGTATTTTGTAAAACTGTTTTTTACTAGTCTCTGTAAAAAGTTACACTTTAAAAAAAAAGAAGATGTACTTTTCCTTAATCATTTTTATGGAGTCTGTGTAGAGAATGATCACCAGATGTCCCCTGGACAGGTAAAGTGTTTGCAGCATTTTGTCACGCTCGTCCCTTTGGAAAGTCCTACAAGTCTTATATTTTTTAGTTTCCTGAACAAAAATAACAGAATGTGGATAGTGCAATTTGCTATTAAAAAAGAAAAACTTGCAAGATTTCTAAGTAAAATGCTTATGGTAAAAAGCATTTTAGACAGAAAAGAGAGGAATGTGTGAATTTAATGTCTCAGTGTAATGTAATGGCAACTGAATTTGGAATATGTTCGTAAGTTAAATGCATGTTGCTGGTGCATGCAAATTTTGCTTTCCAAATTAAATCTTTTAGATGTTGCTTGGAGAGGTATTGTTTTTTTATTTGTAATGTAGGCAGCTGGGATACTTAAAAGTAAGTAGAGAACTTGTAATAGGTTGTTCTTTTAACTTTATCTAGCTTTCTTTCAGAATCAGTGCTTCTGTACCTAGATTAAACTTGTTAAACACAATTCTATTTCTCTTGAATGTTAATGTGTATTTTTAATTATAAAAAAATAAAAAAGCTCTAATTGTAGCTCTAGCAGCTGATGCAATCCCTAAAGCCACGTTTACAGTAATAGTTTAAAGGAAAGAGTTTCCTTTTGCCTCTTTTATTTGGGTCAGGATGGCTACAGCTTTAAATACTGTTTCGGCTGCTACAACTGTGACTTAAAAATTAGATTTCTATTGAGTTTCTAAATCAGAACTGAATACCACCCAATTTAATATTTTTTTTAAATAGAAAGTGATAGTTTAAATTGGCATTGCAGGAACTAATGTGGTCAAGTTAAAAACGTTTAGGCTGTACTTGTTTTAATAAGTATACCTTACCTTCTATAATTCCCTTAAAAAATCTAGGTCAAAGATTCTTTGCATTGTCTAGCATTCCATTCTGACAGTCCTTCTCTTCTGCAAGTCAGAAAGTAAACTATAAATACTTCTTGGTCTATTTTGCAGATCTTTTTGACTTTCACTCAACATACCTTTCTGTAGCCAATAAATCTCTATGCGGAGTTTGTTGTCTGTTTTTTTGTGTTGTATTTTGTTTTGTTTTTCCCCAACTTATTCTAATATCCCTCATCTCTACATACGTGGCTGGTAAGGACTGCTGAGCGTTACGCAGCCTGATACTTCATCCTCTCACCTAAATTCACATCTTTGCACAGCTCATGGGTGGAAATGAGTTTCGTCTCATCGTAGTCCCCCTTTGGCTGTATCACAAAAACCACCAGACAGTTTGGCACCGTTCAGCTGCGTTGGCAGCTTCCACTTGTGAGAAGCCTACGATTGGAAAAGCAGCAGGGGTACTGCAGGTCAGGCTCGAGATGGATTGGCGGAGCTGCGTAGGGGAGCGTGCGTGGTGCCTATCATACTATTTTTGGCTCAGACAAATGTTATTAATCCTTCACTTTTGTAAGCCCTAACCTCATTCATAAATTTAACACAAAGAAGTCTTTTTAGAGGTGGAAGTTTGAGGGACAAAGGGAAAGGGTTTGGGTTGTTATCCCGGGGTGGTTCTTTCATCTCTGTAAGTAGAAACTTAAGGTATTCTGCATAATAATGATGGAAGCATGCTTGGATAAACTTCATGCTTTCTTTTTATTTCTCCTCTTGCATTAGGTGAGGAAAACATATGGATATGCATACATGTAAGGATTACATCATATACTAAATACCACGTGGATGCAATAAACACTCGTCAGAGATACTTTAGTCACGCTTGGGGAAAGCAAAGTAGAACATGATGGCAATAATGTTGGATTACTAATCCCTTTAACTATATTGCGCTCTTAGACATCCTTCTTCTTGTTTTTCTTCTCTCAACCATTTTTCCAATACAGAAGGAGACAGTGGTTTTTATGTGTTCCCTACAGCAACCAGTTGTGGGGTTCCGAGTTATGTGTCGTTCTGTGCTCTTGCTTTACAGTCTTCCTGGGTGGTTCTGTGCTTAGCTAGTGTCATTCAGCCATCCTCGGTGTTGTTTTCCACCAGACTGTCAAAGTTGCCACTTTGAATCCCAGAGTGTCTTTCAAACCCCGTACTGGA